AGGCGCAGGGCTCATTGGCACAGCTGCGGCACGGGCAAAGGCCCTGATTGCCCGAGGAGGATCTCTTCGAACGCGCGGAGGCAAATGCGGCCGCGAGGTCGAAGGGCTGGGGGGGGGGCGGAGCATTGGTTCTCCCAGTCGGCCTTCCTCTTTGCATCTGCGAACTGAGACTTCTGAAATCCACCTTCCTCGGTTCTTCTTGTCGGCAAGGCTCGCGACGACGTTGGCGAGGTCGCCCGAGTCTCCGGGGTGGCTGAACTGGCGCAGCGCCGGGGGCCTGAGGACGGCCAGGCGGCCCCTCGCCACCTTCTCGCTGAACAACCTCGCGTGCTCCGCCCGCCCGATGGCGCGCAGCGGCTCGGATGCGTGCACCTTTCCTCCGAAGCGCCCTATGTGCATGCGCAGCGCCGCGTTCCTCTGGTCGCCCAGCATCAGGGAGTCGTGCAACCTGCCTGCCTTTGACGGCCCCCTTTCCTTCAGCCTCGCAGCAGCCGGCGCGCTGGCCCGAAGGTGGCAGGTCGCGGCGAGAAGCGCCCCAGCGCCATTGTGGTTGACGAGCCCCGCGGCCGCGATCAGCTTCGCCCCCGCCCCTGCGTCGCGGCCATCGAAGCACAGGAAGTCCAGGAATGCTACCAGAGTGTCGCCCAGCACTCTGGGAGGCCCAAGTGGCAGCATGTTGTGCTCCGCCTCCACCTGGAGGACCTCCCACATCTCGGCGCGCCCGCGCTTCGCGCCGTGGCCCGCCGCGCGCATCTCCAGCGCTGGGAGAGCCCCCCGCCGTGGCGCGCCACCTGCAGGGTTGCACTTCGGGCCCTCCGAAGCTGCGGGGCGGGGCGCCCCGCGCTTGGGCGCGAGCGGGGTAGACCTCCCAGCTGCCCTTCCCCCGTCGGCGCCGCTGGCGGCCCCGCGGGGGCGCGCCGCCGGACGTCGCCCAGCTCCTCGGGGGCCCGAGACGGGGCGGCAGTCCTCCAGCCATGCAGAGCTCCAGAAGCGGATCAGGTCTCCCCGACGATCATCGCCTCGAGCGGGCTCGGCCTCAGCCCCCCCGCCCCCCCCATCATCGCGGCCAGCATGCGCGGCGCGAGGCGGTCGGTCAGCGGGGCTCCGCTCCGAGGGGCGCCAGCGAAGAGCGGGGGCGACGCGACTCCCCGGGCATGGCGCGGCCCAATGACGGCAGACCGAGCGCGGCCCAGCGGGGCTGCTCCCCCCCTTGCTCAAAACCTAAATGGCCCCCATGGAGTCAGCGATGAAAAAGGGGCCGCCTGTCTGAACTGCGGAGGTTCCTGGGGCGGTTCCTGAGGGCCCACGCAAGGGCCCCCCTTCCAATGCGACGATGGGCCCCTTCCCCCCCCGCGTGACAGCGCCCGCCGCGCCCCGTGACACGCCCGAGATCTTGTCGTCCGCAAAGGTAAGATTAGGGAACATGCGTCCAGGAACCCGTCGATCACCTGGGGAATTTCGGGACGTTGAGGCTCCATCGGGTCTGTGAAGGCTGCGGGTACGTCCTTGAAATCCTAGTTGATGTCCTACATCATCCTCTGGGTCCTTTAAGGGGGTATGCAGATCTCGTCGTTGTCATTCGCGCTCACGGGGGCGATAGCCTCTGGGTCCTTCGGTGCCTCGTGGAAGTTCATGTCGGTAAAGTTCGGGAACTGCGGGGTCTCTGGGAGCGTGTAGAGGGGGCCCATGAGGCCTCGGGGAGGCGCAGGCGGCGACGTCGTTTCCCCTCGGCAGCCCTGCGCCGCGACGGTAGAGTTGCAGATGCCCGCGCCGGCGCCAGCGCTCTCTCCCGACGCCCCGTTCTTGAACCTCCACCTCTCGCTCCATCTCCCGATCTCCTCGACGCTCGCCTCGGGCAGAGAACTCTCGGCGACTCCGCGCCCTCGCTCGGCGGCGTCGGTTGCCGCGGGCGGCCGCGCGCGTCGCCGGGGACGGGGTTGCAGGGCGAGAGGGCCCCGGGCCCAACGCAGCTCCCGGCGAACCAAGGGCCGCGCTTTGCGGCACTCCTGGGGGTACTTCTGGAAAGAGACATGCACCGCTTGCACGCAGGCAAGTGCAGGGCGTTGCGCCAGCGCGCAGAAAGTGAAGTGGCCGACGAACTGCCGCACCTCATGACCTGACAGGGCGTTCCGCGCGAGGGCGCGCTCCGACGCCAGCCGCAGCCGCCAACGACGTCGAACCGTCGGCTGAACGCCAGCATGAGCACCGCACTGCAACCATCCACGCACCTCCAGCTCCTGGGCAGCGCCCCCCCCCCCCATGCGGCTGAAGCCCCGCCTCCGTAAACGCCGCGGAGGCCCTCTCGACCAGTCCGTCGGCCCATGCTGAGGTGGCGATAACTGCAATCAAAGTGTCCACGTACAGTCCGGCGACGCCTTGACTGACGGAAGGGAACGCTCGGTTGTCTGCGACAAAGCCCTTGACATCGAACTCTGGCAAAGCTCCGGCGAGAACTCTGCAACTCGAAAGCTGTGCCAAGTATAGGGCATGTGTCCAACCCATCGGCGTGGCAGCGAACCTCGGCCGTAGCCGACCATCTTTGACCCCGCCCACAAATTGCTGAGAAAGACCGAGTTGGCTGGCTTCGCGACGCGAGGCAATATAAAGAAAGGTCGCAGCTCCATAGGCAACTGAATGTAATGAGAGGCATTCTTCAGGTCCAGGGTGGCAAACGATGCGTCTCCAGAGTCCGCCAGCTCGATCTCGGCAAAAGCAGCTCCTGCATGGGGCGGAGCCACCCTCGCCGGACCCATATGCGCAATGGAGAAGCGGGCGTCGATCACCAACCTCTGTTGTCCTGACTTCCTCCACGCGCCGAACAGCCCACGCTCGCAAGTCGCGTTAGTGTCGAAGTCAATGAGCCCGCGCGAGAAGAGCGCCTCCACCAGGTTGGCGCAGCGGCGCGGCTCCTGCGCGAGCCCGCGGCCCACGCGGGGCCGATTCACGTCGAGCGAAGCTTTGATCTCTGCCGCGGCTTGGCAGGATGAGCCCCTTACAACATTGCTCGATCTCCATCGCGCCACCTCCCCCCAGTAGGCCATCCAAAGGGGCAGGCCGGCGCCCGAAAGGGGGCGGCGAAAGGAGGTCGAGATCGATGGCGGCAGCGCCCGCGCGCCCGCCGCGGCAGTCGGTGGACTTCACCACCTCCAGGAGGGCGATGCGAGCAGTCAGGCCCCTCGGGGGCCCCCACATGGCGATGACCTCCTCGGCCGCGAGCTCGCCGGCGGCAAGGGCGGCGCCTCCTGGAGCGGCGCCATCGCCGAAAACTGCAGAATGGTCCCCGCCTCCAGCGAGTTTTCCCGAAGCGCGTCAAAATTGTTGATAGCGGTGCCCAGCGGCAGCAATCGGAAACTCCTTGCTGAGCGAGGATGCACCCGCGAGCGGGGAAAGATCCCGCCAGCGTCGCCTGCCGCTCGAAGGAACTGAGACCTGCGCAGCTGCACGGGGACGGTCAACTCCCGCGCGCCCAGCGATAAACCCGACCGCCGCCTGCCGGGCTTCCAGCGGCGGCCGTGGCTCCATCGTGACTTCTTGGGGCGCGCCACCTCGCGCTCCTCGCGAGCTCGTCGCGCCTGCTTGGCGATCGAGGCACCCCCCTCCGCCTCCTTCGCGACATGCTCCGTCAGGGGGGGCGACCACATCTCGTTTATTCCACCGCGGCCCTCGCCCAATAACATCACCTGCCCATGGAGGGCCAGCCCCGTCTTGCCGAGCGAGTTCATGTCAAAGTCCCTCACCTTCTCTCGGCATTTGCCCGCGGTGAGCTGAGCTCGACGGAGCAGGTGTTCCGGCCAAGCCTGGTAGGCGAGATCCACCTGGTCGTAGCGCCACACGTGGGTGGAAGCCTCCATTTCCGACTCGTGCTCGAACACCCCACAATAGCTGGGGTTGAGCTTCGCATCATGCCTCCACCCGTGGTGATCATCTGGAGGGGTGCCTCCATGAGCGTCCTGACCAAAGGCCGTCACATACCGGCGCACGGCCCTGGGCCCCTCCATCGGCCAGTCCGCTACCGGCACCTCGGAGATGCCCTCCTCCACATATTTCCACGTGCGGTGGCGGGCCCCCCCCTCAGCGCCATACTGAACTCGGAGCACTTTCGCATCCGTCTCTGAGTCGACGGACTTCATCTCCTTTGTGGTGTGCTCTCTCATGAAGTCCTCATCTCGACCGATCCTAACTCCAGCGATGGCTATAGCGCAATCTGGCTCTAGGAGACCACCACGACACCAGACGCGTGCCCTTAGGCCAATGCGTTCCATCGGTGATGCACACGAGCACTCCCCAAGACACACACCCGCAGCAGCAGGCGAGGCCGAGGAGCGGCGCAACGACCCGCAGCACGCGGGTGCTCAGACTCCACGTGTAGCGGTTCTCCTCCACGACGTGGTCGAAACGCTTCTCGCAACCCACTGTGGCTGTTCGCCAGCCCTCAGGCAGCGCTCACCACCTCATCACACAAGCTGCGGGCGCCCCGTACCAGCTCAGGTGTCTCACTGCAGCCCCGCGAATTATCTCGGCGGGCACCGACTGTATGGTGAGGTCGCGGACAAAACCCAAGTACGCCTCCAAGAGGGACTGGTTTAGTTTGGACCAAGAAGCTGCGGAGAAGCAACGACAACGTTTACAGGGATGTCAATCTCAGATGCACAACGGACGACGACGACAGAAACGGACGACGACGACGACGACGAAAGACGACGGACGACGGACGACAGACGACGGAAGCCGGACGCTGGACGACGACGACGACGGACGACGGACGACAAACGACGGAAGCCGGACGACGGACGCTTGACGACGACGACGACGAAGACGAGAACGACGACGACGACGACGAGGGTGACGACGACGACGACGACGACGACGACGACGACGACGACGACGACGACGACGACGACGACGGACGACGGACGACGGTCGACGGACGACGACGAAGACGACGAGCGCTGGGTCCCGCTGCGCGCGCCCCCGCTTCGTGGAGAGGGGGTGGGGGGGGCCTCGGGCGTGCTTTTGACCCAGATCGACTCGTCGTCCCAGACGAGCCTGCCGTCGGGGGCCATCTGCGCCTCGAAGAAGTCGCCGTCCATCCAGAAGCCACACCTCTGGGGCCCGAGCACCTGTGGCTGCTGTTATCCCCCCCCTTGAGAATACGGGTGCATGAATCATAATACACTAGAGTCGTACATGGCTTAGGAGGTCCGCGCGGACCTCCAAAGTTTATGATTATGCAGTTTGTTCTCTTGTATTGGCCTCTTGCTTCGGCCCGTCGTGATCACATCAACGCATCATGTTACGTGCCGCCACTGTGTCGATGAAGAGCGCTGGATCTCCAAGCGGACGAGCCAGGTTACATGCTAAGGTTTCGGGCTGCGTGCAGACAGCCCACCCAGGTAGTCTCAGCTGGCCTCATTAGGCCCCCAGGGTAGTCCCAGCTGGCCTCAACAGGCCCCCCGAGTAGTCCCAGCTGTCCTCAACAGGCCCGCCGAGTAGTCTGGAGCAGACCCTGGCGGGCGAGCCATGGGGTGTTGAGATCGCCCAAGACTGCTCGGGGGCCTGTTGAGGCCAGATGGCAGTACTTGGGGGGCCTGTGGAGGCCAGCTGGGACTACCTGGGGGGGGGGCTGTATTTGCGCAGCCCGAAGTCTTACCAGCAATATGTCCAGATGCTCAATTCGGTCTCAGTGAACCACCTCAGGTCTGTGCGGCATGGGGCGACTGGCAGAAGGAGTTGATATCGAGGCACCCGAGTCCACCTTCATCATACCACGACCATTCTAACATTCGCGCGCGAGGCGGCCCCCCCCCCATTCAAGAGAAAGCCTCGAGTGCGTAGACGCCCAGCCCCACCACGTCCAGCTCAGAGCCCTTGATGACGACCACGCCGCCCTCTTGGTCCACCCAGCGACCATCGAAAATAGCCGCGCTCTGGTCGGTGACCTTCGCGGTAGTGTCCTTCCGTCTCTCTCTCTCTCTCTTGCGTTGGGCGTCGCTTAACGGGGTGGAAGAGAGGTGCACTTTTCGGGGCCTGAGGGGCCCCTTGAGGTGCCCCACAAGGCCCTTTTTCTGCAACCCTCGCTGACCCCCCCATTTACCGCCCCTCATTACACGACGCCCAATTGCGCCGGACAAGACAGACTGCCGGGATTGAGCTCGATCCTCCACCGCCTCCTTCCAAAACAGCCGGTGGACTGATTGTCCAATCCACGGGCACCTGAGGGCGGGACCCTCTTGGGGGAAGGATCTGGACCTCAGACCTCAGGGGTACGCGGATCCTGGCCGGGAACCTGTCCCTGGGTAAAGCTTGCCCCCAGGGCAAGTGTTCGCTCGTCCCGGATCTGTTTCTGATGGGCCCGCGGCCCGAAAACGGCCCCACGCCGAGATCAAAAGCACCAATCCGCCCGAAGCCTAGGCCGCCAGGCAGCACAGACTGCCAGTGTCGGCATCGATCTCACCGTGATAGTTAAAGCCTGCACGACTTCTTTTGTCCCCTCGGCTCGCGCGGGAGCTTCCTCGATCTCCCCCTTCTCATCTGGACACCTCTGGACACCAAACCTCGACCCATCTGGACTTGCACCAGCCTGCGCAGCGATATCCCGACTCGTCTGGCCTGACACTCACGAGTCGACTGGAGCAGAGCCGTCAAGCCCCTATAGGGGCCTAGCACCACTTCCTCTAACTCCCCCACTGATGGGGAGCGTTACAAGGGGACCGACCCAGGGGGGGAAACATCGAGTTGGAATCGGCGATACATCGTCGATAGATGGGCGATGAGCCCGCGATAGCAAATCCGCATGTTCCTAAGCGGGGTGCTCGGCGATGAATGGGCGATTGGAGGCGGGAGCATGTCTCCCTGAGTCTATCCCCCCCTGTCGCTGTCCCCGAAGGGTCCTGGGGTGCGGTCTGACAATCACTTCAAGGCGGATGCAACCGTGGCCACGAAGGCGCCCCAAGTCGATGAAAAACCTACAGAAGTTGAGCAGGGACCGACCGTCCTGGCATTCCCCACGAAATGCTCATAGACCAAACGAAATTCCAACATCAAAACCACTGCCCTTATAACATAACATTGCATTTGGACAAGACGGTCTGAGCCGAATATGTTGGGATCTGATTTTAGAAACTCAAAAATGATTAGAACATTGTTTGGCAAGCTAGACGCCCTGCCACTGCTTGAAGAAAACGAGCCTCGACCCACGAACCCTGAGATCCGACGTCGCGAACAAATATGAAACATCGTAACAGATCACGACCGGAGCCCTAAACACCATCTTCCTGCCCCATTTTTCGAACCAAATCGATTCTTGATGGCCCCGGGGCCCGACACCTGGCGAACACGCACGGCTCGGAAAAATTAGACGCCAGGATCTCAGTGAGCATCGTTTCACCGACCCCTATCCCCATGGGCGTGGCCTGGGCCCCACTGGCTGATGTACCACCCCAGATGGGGATATATTAAATTTCCTTGGGTTTCGAGGGGTGCATCTCCAACTGGGCGACGAATAGAAACGGATCTTACGCGAGATGGCGTACCGACCTTACATGGTGGCTTATGCGGGCCGCCGGCGCGGCACGCCACAATGGAAGCGAGGACACATACGCGCGGCCTTACGCGGGCAACGTGCGTGCCAATATCGGCGCAGTTGAACCCGTGCTTCTTTGTCGCTCACTCGGGAGCCGAGATGGTGGGGGTCTGGATGGGGATGGGGTTGGGGATAGGGGTCTGTTAAGTGATACCGCCTCAGGGAACCGAGGCCCTCGCCGAGGGACTCCGCCACGGCGACGCCGACAGCAAGCCCTGCTCAAAATGAATGTTATACCCATACTTTCCGTATCATTTCGATTGTCCTGAACGGGGCGCACTGGGACATACTAGAAGTACCAGGTGTCCTCCCTGGAGGCGTGCGCTCGACCCGAATCTACAGTATAACCATCTTGTAGTATATCGTTTCCCGAGCGGTATGGTCAGAAAGCGCCCGCCTCGGAGCTTGTACTAGAAGATGTCTCGGCGCGCGCATCGCCCCTGAGGGGGGCGACGGACACATAGTATGAGTATGTTGGACTGACTCCGACCGAATGATCTCAGGGAACCTGGGTAAACCAAAAGATACCGATACCGCAACTCCCCAGACCTCTCCCGGGATGCGTTCTGACCAGGAGTTCGAGGCGAATGCAGCGGTGGCGACGAGGGCCCCCCCAGGAGGCCCCAAGACCCAAAGAGGCAACAACGAGGCAGGGGTAGCGGCATGGGTACACTTTGCCTCCTCGGACCCTCGGCCCCCGGAGCCGACACCCCCGCCGCGGGCCTCCGCCGCGGCCCTGGCGCACGCCACCGCGCCTGCGGCGCGCCCACCCTCGCGGTTCGCGCCAGCGGCGCCCGCGGCCGCTGGCGCGGCGGCGGCGCCCGCCGCAGTGGGCGCGGGCGCGGCCTCGGTGGCTACGAGGTGAGGCCCTGAGAGATGGGGCCGTAAGGCAGGACGACGCCAGGACTTGAGGATTAACTCAATTCGGGTGAGGATACAGCCAGACTCTCTGAGGTACGACGGCTCTGGAGGGTGTCTCGGGCGCCGCGGCCTTCTCAGAGCGTTCCAAAAAGAGTCTGGGAGCGTTCTGGATAGCTGTGGAACGGATTTATCCTCGTCCTCGCCCCCTTCAATAAAGACAACCCAGAGATCCGAGGCTCGGGAGAAACTGAGCCGGACAATATTTAGCTGCCATCGGCCTCCAAGGGCCCTCGCCGGCCCGAAAATTGGCAAGGTGTCGAGAGCTCCGGGGGCCTATGCATCCAAAAATGCAGCGGCTGGGGTCTGGAAGGGGCCTCAAGCAGTGCAACGACGAGCGAGCGACACACACCAGAACCCATAGGGGGGCGGGTCGGAGGAGGGCTGGCTGTGGGTATGGGTGTGGGTTTTCAGACCCCGGAGGGGGCTCCCGCTCGAGCGGGGACCCCCGTCCGACAACACGCACACATAGCCTTCTCCGCCCCTCCTATGGGTATATGTGTGTTGTTCGCTCGCAGGTGGCATGCTGAGGTCCAGAGTAAGGGCAGGAATCTCTGGATAATCTTCGGAATTGAGCACTTCGCCAAGCCGGAGCCAGCTGATGACGGCACGCCCAAAACAAGGAACGAACCCAAGAGGCGTCGAACATGCATCCTCGATGCAGCCACTGCCAAGTACAACCCGGCAGACCTGCAACCGATCGTTCGCGAGTGGGGCCTCCAATGCCGCCTCCAGGACCACGAAAACGGCGTCTGGGAGTACTACACCATCAGCTGGGACAAAGCGGGCGGCGTCCGTATGGATTGGACAGCCGACGAGGCTAGCAACCTGGACATTGTTGTTTCCCGGCGCTGCCCCGCCATGGCCAGACTTGCCGACACCAAGCTCACATGGCCCCCAGCCCTTGGAGCGCCCGCACCAGACTCCCCCCGCGCGCGGTTCCCAATTGACGTCATGGTCGTGAGGTTCGACGCCCGCAAAGGCATCTTCCACCCGGCCAGCGCAACGCACGATGGGCCAATAGGCGCGGCCGACCGCTGGCACAGGATCGACAAGGCACCGTCGCAGGTGCAGCGCTACCGGGTGTGGGCAGCCATTCAAGAGGCGTTCTCCCTGCACTCCTCGCCCCGGTCTTTCTGGGGCACAGCGCTGCCCCTCATTCCCTACGGCCCTCGCCATCCGCACCACCGACTTGGCCGAAAAGGGGAAAGCCAACTCCTTCCCCGACATCCTAGCTGCCGCTGGAGCGCTCCAGGCGCAGGCCAGCGTCGCCCTCGGGTACGAACTCCGAAACCCTGACGGGGGCGCGACCTACCCGCTCGTGGCCCCAAAGCCCTCGGACGACGAGATCGAGCAATGTCCAAGCCACGTGTTCCACCGCGTATTACCCGGCCTGTCTGTTGAGCACATCGAGACCACTGCCGCCAGACACAGGCTCAACCCCAGCCAAACGCGCGTCCTCCTCAGCTCCCCGCCCTCGATCGCGCTGCTCATGCACGGCCCATCGGGGGCCGGGGAGACCAAGACCATCGCAGCGCTCCTCGACGTCTGGCCCCCCACGGCCCCACACGGAGTCGCGCTAGGTTTGTTCTCGGGGTCAAACAAATGAGCCGACATGCCAGCCGCCTACCTGGCAAGCGCCGCGCGACCAGGGCAGCTAAACCCGGCCTCCGGGTTCCCTGGCGCCGCAGTCCGCCTCAGGCGCGATGGCCGCACCACCAGCGACGATGCCCGTGCACTCACCGTGGCCGCCCGGCACGAGGAACAGCATCACGTGCACCCAAACAGCGGCGCAGTACCCCCTGTGACTCAAAAGACCTGGTCTATGTTCCGCAAGGGGCACCTGAAGTCCGCCGAGCTGCTTCTTGATACCAACGAACTCGCTTCAGACCTCACGGCGGACTACTGCCCGAACCTCTCCACCGTGGTGCTGGACGAGGCTGGACAGCCCACTGAAGCCCTAGCCACCATTTCCATCGCCCTCGCGGGCCGGACTGGGGGCCGTCTAGTGCTCTGCGGGGACCTGGACCACCTCCCGCCCGCGCTTCTCTCCTGGCGTGCCGAGGCAGTGGGCATTGGCTTCTCGGTGCTCAGTAGGCCCCGCGCCTCTCTTGGCCCCTGCGACCAATACAAGGTGTTCCTGGACAGGTGCTATCGGATGCGCCCATCCATTCTGCAATGGGCCTCGGACTGCTTCTACGACGAGCGGTTTCTGCGAGGACTGACAGACCCGGCCAAGCAGAGACCCCTGATTCACGGCGCAGGCCTCAACTGGCGCCCAGCCATCTCGCTCACTCCCCAGGACCTTGAGCAGGCCCGTGATGGCCGCGGATGCCCAACCGACAACCTGGCCATCGGCGCTGGCAAGTGGCGCAAACCCGTCCACGGCTCGCAGCGTGGCGACCACCTGCGGGCACTGTTCGTCCACACTCTGACTTCGCCGAGGTCTCCTTCAACAGCGTGAAAGGCACGGCGAACGTCAGGGAGGCTGCAGTTGTGTGACCTGGTTACCGCAGCCGCCCCCGACCTCATTGCCCGCGACAAGAAGGTCCTCGCCATCGCAGGATACCGAGCCAGCACGGTGGCGCTGCGCGGCGGCCATCCTCTCCGTTCGGGCGCCTTCTTTGAGGCGCACCGTGGCCGGCGCAAGGGCAACTCCACCGGCGGCCCGCCCCGAGGGGCCGGCCCCCGGCCCGCGGCGAGTCCACCTACCGCCAGCGACCGACTCCGCAGAACGGACTCTCGCTCGCCTTCCCTGGGCTCGAAGCGCGGTGCCCGGATCTTCTCGCCAAGAACAACATCGCCAGCAACGCCGTCGACGGGTGTCAGGGCGACGAGGCAGCGCTAGTCATGTTCTGTACCACCCGTGCGAAATCGGCCAACAAGTCGGGTTTCATGGGCGACGCCCGACGCATCAACGTCGCCATGACAAGAGCCCAGGAAGG